GGCAATAGGAGCAGCAGAGGAAAGCTCTAGTCCAGAAATTTCACAGAATTCACCAAGGCAGGCAGGGGCACAATTGGATTAAGTGACAGAGTTCAGTGAGGCTTTGAGGATAAGTCTCCCCTGCTGTCCCTGGCTTTTTGTCTTATGTTTGCTGTCTTCCATTTTCCCTGTGAATGAAATGGTATCTTCAAGGCCCCCCTCTCATTAATTGGAGGCCAGCTTGTGTACTTTTGTGATGCCATACTTCATTTTTCATTATAGTTCTTTTTTTGCCAATAAATTCTATGTCTTCAATGATGCTCAAGTGAAGGCATGTGAAGTGATTTCATCTTATGTGTTTAAATCTTAGAAACTTACATGTAAGAATGTTAAATTTCAGAAAGATAAAATCTCATTGACCATCTTAAATTACTATTATTCAATTAGCTCCCCAGAAGTGCATAAGAAAAATGCCTTTTATTCAAAAGAACCATCATGAATTTAGAATGATTTTTTGTATCTCCTTATGGTATAAAATATGTTGATATTTGACAGGGTGACTGGAAATCCCCATCATCACACCTCTTCCACCTGTGTACAAGGGCCTAGAGTGTGGACACCATACACTTCTCCTTCCATGTTTAATATGAGAATTTACCATTATTTCCTTGTTAATATTAGTGTTATATCCTCCCTGTCTTAGTTGCTGGATTATGGTGAAATTTTATGTTGAGGAAATACCAATGAATAACTGAGATGCTTATCTTTCCTATAACAACCAAGCAAGCTAATGTTTGGCTATAGAAAGAAGAGCAGATTTTTCCTCAACAAGAGTGAAAAATGTCAGTCAATCACCAACATATCTGAAATGAGCTCCCTGTGCCTTAAGGTGTCTCCCATGAGGGGAACAAACATTACCTTCTTTTCACCCAGGAAAAATAAAGATCAAGGTTTGGTTTTTACTGACATCTCCTGGCCAGCATTAAGGAGCTAAGGTCAGGACAGTGTTCTTCTTATGAGGATGGCCAAACAAAGTCCAGAGGGTGGGATCCTCAGTGTTCCTGATGCTGCCTCCAAAAGGCATGAATTGGCCAGGTGCCCAACAGTCTGGCATCAACCCAGTTACCTGATGTAAATAAAAAGTCCTACTTGCAATTTCTAGCACAGGGAAATGTCCAGAGCCTCCAAATCAGCTGTCCATGTTTCTATGCAGAGTGACCAGAATTCCACAAAGAAACCAAGACTTAAATCCTCTGCTTTCACCCACTAGATCACTTGAAAACCTGGCATGAAACATCTCCAGATTATGCAGTCTAAACCGAATCACCATAGACTTGAAATGAAAGTAGCACTTCAAGAGACCAAGAAAACATCAGCTCAGGGATACAGTCATGATCTACAGCCTCTAAACAACAAACTTAACCTTGACTCTGCCATGTTTTTCACAGAGTCCAATAACCCACTGTCTAGCCATGTTCCAGGCTAACCACTGAGAATGGTCTTGAAGAGATTGCACAGTGACAACTGGAACTCCAGGACGGTGACAGCAGAAGAAAACACTCCTGACACCAGAATCCCAAACTACAGCTTCCTGAAGGTCACTGCTGCCATGTCCCACTGAGTGTCCACGGTGAGGATCAGTAAGTCTCCTCCTTTGAGGAGAGTGATGTGGAGTGAGACACCTCCTGAAAGGGAAGATTCAACCTCCAATGTCAGGTGACTTGTTGGGGACTGCTGGACTGAGCAGGGGTGGTCAGAGGGCACAGGCTCTTTCTTCTTAACCATCTTACCTTCTGTGGAACTTATACAATGGTTGCTCTCAAGAGATTTCTGGGAACAATCACACAGCCATTGAGGGTTTAGATAATGTACACTTAGGTTGTATTTTAACAGGAGCTTAATATAGTACCATGAGAAGCGTTCTGTATCAAGTTAATTTCATAAGACATAGACTTGACACAGCTGTGTACACATTATATGTTTTTTCTAACATCCTGTAAACATTATTTAATTTCCTTTTGATGCATAAAAAATTTAAATTTACAAATTATATACATTACATTAAAATTGCATAAGTAAATGTAAGTGGCCTAACTGCTCTAAACTCTTTCTTTCAACTCTGTGAAGCCTTTAACTTCCAGGGAATGGAAAATCGCCATGTTACATATGACACACAACTTGTTACTAGGGAGTTGAATATGGAGAGTAAGGTCCAATGGGCAGGAGTGAAGAAAGAATCCTAACTATCCTGGGTACAGAGCTAAAAAGGACTAGTCTCCACTCACACTTACTTCAAACATCTTTAGTCTCTGCATCTCACCAGAATGTAGTTTCCTGCTGATGAAGAAGCTGACTCTCCCCGGTGGGTTCAGTTTCTATATTTTTACTTCACATTTGATTGACAGCCCCACCTGGCCTGTACTCTGAAAATGGAGAGTTTTAGTGAGGTATCTCCACATAGTGCTGTGGACAGACATACAGACACTGAGGGTTCAGAGTATGCAATCTTATGTTGTACTTAAAATGGAACTCAATATAATGCCATATGAAAAGTTTTCTCTCTAGTTAGTTTTATAGCAAATAGGAGTAACATACCTGTGTACATATTAAACTACAGGGAATTAAAACTCAATCTGTCCTTCCTGTCAAAATGAAACAATTTAAGGAAAACACTTGTTAATCTCTGTCATTTTCAACTTTCCCTGTGACCTACATGAAATCTGAGATTTTGACTCTATTGGTATCAACAGCAATGACTGTGGCAAATAATCTCCTTGACTTATCTTTGATTTACCTAATATCCTTAATTGTTTGTTTAATCAATTCAATACCAATAAAATCCTGTGAATCATGACAAATTCCATGAATATTTTCTCTTCCTAGCAAAGCAAGTCAGCTTTCTCACACATATCTGTTAACCTTTGTTTTCATACCAAGATTCATGAGGACTTTGAAAGTTCACTGATCATATAAGAACACCAGGAATGGGGCAAGGATTCCTTGTTCTGGATTTGTCTTTCATGTTTACATTCTTACCTACTCAATTTGTGCAGTGGAAAGTGTTCAGTCAATAGGTGAACTCTAGTCTGCTTTTCTCATCCTGGGTTTTAGAGATGACAACCATCTCCTGACTCTGAGTCCTACACACTCTACATCTCTCTTAAGATGAGGATGATGCATAAACTATGGGGCTAACAGTCAGACACAAGACCAAGATACTCAGAGTTGTCTTGAAAGAAAGTGTGATGTGCTGGTGTGATGTCTTTATATGCAATCATGAGATAGTCAGGAAAACACAGTGAGTTGACATACATTTCTCCACCAATGAATGGAATCAAATTTATTGATTCATTGCTAAAATGCTATCTTTACACCAAAATCAACCAAAACACTCCCATCTCCTCTGATTCCTCCCTGTCTGTGATTTTCACAACACAGGTTTCTATATAGCAAGTGGGCAATGCAAATAGACCCTCCTTCAGTTCATAAGACCAGCCCAGCCCTGACCCTACAGCTCTGGCATAGGAGCACAGTCAGGTGGAGACAGGGTTGAAGAAAAACAGGAAAAAGTCAATAATGTCCACAGTTCAATCAGAGATGCATTATGTTAAAGAACTTTCTACATTTTTTGAACAAGCTCAATTTTGTGGGAGTTCAAATGCATAGGAGATGTACTGGAGTCACTGGCCTAAAAAACCATATCACTCAGGCAGCATTCTGGGTATTTACTGGTCACTTTTAATCACATTTACAATGAAAAGTGGAGCAGAGAATAGAATGGCAAAATTGAGAATACTTGCATTTTGGCCAGACTGGAAGACAGGTATACACCAGGCCCAGAAGGGTGCCATACCAGAAGACAAGTATACCTCACGCCCAGAAGTGGGTCATTGCTAAAATTATCAGTACCATTAGGATGAAGACCATTTATTGTGTATGTGGAGAAAAGGAATGTTTCCTGGAGGCCTCACAGGAATTGGTTGGATGACTATATTGTCTTTAAGAGTACAGTAGCAATGAGTTTCTTTCCCTACACTAGGCACCACCTCCTAGTGATTCTACCACCCAATAGCTCCACAGGCTGGCATTCAATATTTTAACATTTGGGCCTTTAAAATAGAGCAATATTATAAGAAAAAAATTAATGACAACATCTTTGGTTAGCACATTTGCAAATCACATTGATATTATCAGATGTGCTAGATTTGAATGTGTCTCTTGATTTTAAAGTGTTTAACCTTTAGCAGCTTATTATGTTAAAAATTTATTCATGCAGATCAGAGAAAATGTTTCATAGATCTCTTAAAAATATCTTCCTCATGCCCAACAGGAGGCAGTATTGCACATGCTGCCCTGCCCTATCCTGACCCATTAATACATTAGACTGGCCATATTCAGGGGTAATGACAACCACAAATACTGGAGAGGATCCATCGAATCCTGAACCCCTATACAATGTTTTTGGGAATGCAAATTAGTAAAATCCCTATGGAAAACAACATTGAGATTCCCAGAAGTCTAAACATAGAACTGCCATATGATCAAGTGATACTGCTCCTGGACATCTACACAAAGAAGCATAAGTCAGGATACAATTGAGATACTGTTACATCACAACAGTATTCACAAAAGCCAAGCTTTGGAATCACCCTATGAGCCCTACAAGTGATGAATGGGTCAGAAAAAAGTGGTCTCCTCCCTCTGCATGATGTAGACAGCAATGTACATTATTCAGACATGGACTGTGACTCTAACAATGTACCCTTTTTGCCACAGACTTCCTATTTGTCTCGACCTAGTACATCCAGGGAGGCAAAGTCCTCTGAAGTTTGTGTCCCAGGTTCCTGTAGGTAGCACAAGGCAAAGCAGTCTCCCTGAGAGGGAATGAAGGAGACCCTGCCCTCTTCTTGCCTCTTCTATCCTCAGGGCCTCCTCCATGCAAAGCAGCTGCTAGGCTCATGCTGAAAGACCAGCCCTGGTTGACCAGCCCAGTTTCCTTCTCACAGGAGACTTCACAAACCATGGAGGTCCTGGGGCTGTTCCTCTGCCTGGTGGCAGCTCCCTGCTGTGAGTGTTTCAGAGGTCGCAGATGACAGACTTGAGCATGAGGTTTCTAGTGTGTTTAACTGATGTTTCTTGTCACCAGGTGTCCTGTCCCAAATGCAGCTGCAGGAGTCAGGACCTGGACTGGTGAAGCCTTCACGGGCCCTGTCCTCACCTGTATTTATCTGTATTCTCATTAGCCACCAATATATAAATTGGGTCCCAGCTTCCAGGAAAGGGCCTGCAATAGATGGGTGCCATATGGAGTAATGGAAATACTCATTATAACCCAACACATAAATCCTGATGAACTAGGTTTCATTAACAGTGAACAGCCTAAGAACTGAAGACATGGCCATTTGTTACTGAGCAAGAGACACTGTGATGGTACTTGAATTGAGCCCAGACAGAAACCTCCATGCTGGGCAAACAGGACTAGCAGGGAGGGATCACAAACACTGAGCACAAGGCAGCCCCAGGGGCAGGTGCAGTGTGATGCATGAACTTTCATTTCTGGTGCTGTGATTTCTCACACTTCCATCTCCCCACCACTACCATTCACAGTGATTCTGTAGACAGGTCCTGCCTCTGAACATCATATGGTTTTTCTTTTCTAGATGTCAGGACTTTTTCAATATCAGTAATGTATCAAGAATAATTATAATAAGTATAATTAAGTTTTCAATGAAGTTACATGAGATGTTTATAATCTTTTTATTACATGTAATTCTTCTCCTCCTCTCCTCACTAAGATGGACCCTGAGTCCTGTCTTCTCACTAGTTTCCTCTCATTTGTAGTTCATTCAACAGTTGTACAGAATGAGGGGACTGAGAAGTGAGCCCAGACACAAACATGCCTGCAGGACACAGAGGGCCTGGCCTGAAGAAAGCACTCAAAGCTCATCCATCCCTGAGTCTCATCCAAGAAGCAGGTGCAGGAGAGAACAATCAGGGACGTCCTGTTGTGTCCAGTGGTTTTCTGTCTGCCCCAACATCTCCAGTGCCCCCGGGGATGACTTTTATTTCTTTACCTATTCTCTCTTATTCTCACTGTGGAAGTAAAGAAGGAAGTGTCTTCTTTTCTAGCATGCTTTTGGACAATCACTAGGTAAAATAATTCACAAATTCCCATATTACCTGCTTTTACTCCTTAACAAACAAAATATTCCTAGAATTCTCTTCATCTGCCCTTGCTGTTGTGTGCTGAACTGTGTCCCTCAAAATTCACATTCAGAAGCCTAAGTGACAATGTAGTGTAATTTAAGTGTAATGTGTTCAAAAAGTCAAAAAAGATTTGGATACAAAATGTCTATGACCTTTCAGGGGAAGAAACTGACATCAAAACTACTCTCTCTCTCTCTCTCTCTCTCTCTCTCTCTCTTTCCATTCAACAAAGGCAAATGGTAGAAGTATCCTAGCCATGAATAAATGCTATATGATTGTCACAACCACCACACTAAGCACTGCAATAACTAGGTTCCAAAACATGACAGACATGGAAAGAATCAAGGAGATCAATACTGCTTGGAATTTCAGAGGAACCTGTGCGAGAAGAACTCTCTGACTGGCTTCCTCCTGGACTGAAAACAAATCTCATCTATCTGGGTATTATGGAAAGAGGCAATCCTTGAGAGTGTCAGAGTAGGGGCACATAAGCCTCACATTTATGTTGACTTTCATAGATAATGAGTGTCTACACTTGCAAGTCACATTTAGAAACTTGGCATCAATGGTGCTGTCACAAAGTTCCCTGATCTGGGTCCTTGCATGGGACAGGCAGACTGCTCTTCCACAGCCACTTCAGTCAATGGAATCTATTGTCTCTGTGAAACATCCATTAATGAACCTGGACTTCATTACAACCCTAGGACCGTGGTTCCACTTTCTCTGAATGTCATGGTTTATTAGGAGACTTCAGCCTGCACTGAGTGCCAAGTGTTTCACGCCCATCAGGTTATTCTCTTTATTTCATAAGTAAGGTCAGTTTTGCTTTCTTACATTTTTTGTTCATCTATTCTCCTATTCAGCATTTCTTCTTTATAGTCAAAACATTGGTTTGTACTTTCTTCTTTGAGGATTTTGTTTTAATAATTATTATTTTCCCTTCATCTCTTTTCTGTTAGCTGAATCTTTTTCATCCTGTGTCTTGCTACGCTTACATTTACTCCATTTCTCTTCTACCTTATCTTTGTATATTTCCTGTGCCATTCCCTGCTGTTAGTCCTCCTACTCTCATTTTGTCCCTACTCTTATTATCTACCATCTCATTCCCTCACCTCACACTATTTCTTTCCTTACTTGCCCTTGTGATGTTACAGTTGTCTGGTGAGTGTTTTATTAGTCATGCTGCATTTCCACATAGCTGTGCCAGTGAACTGTGTCTGATTTTGCAGTGTTCTCCTCTCTTCTGTGGTGGTGAGGACTGAGCTCTGTGACTTGAGCATGCTGGGCAAATAATTTCCTCCTGTGCTGTACCCAGTAGTGGGGTTAGAAGATATACAGGTTGCCAAAAATCTTGACCCCACTCTACAAACACAAGAATCTTTGGAAAACAATGTGACAGTTCTTAAATTATCAGCAATTCCACAATTCTCATTGTAATGAAGTGCATGAAAACCTCAACAAAGAATGGTTACAAGAATCAGCAATGAAACCAAAAAGACAAGAATAATCACCTGAATAAATGGAAATCAATATAGATAAAATATTCATAATATCCTATGAACATCTTTGGAATAATTTCAATGAAACCCACTTGTAATATTAATGATTGCAGATAAAATATAAAAGAGAAATTATGGAATTTTGAGCACTGTGACAGCTGAGGATAGTGTTGTGTAATACCGTTTCAAGCACTGTGATCTGCATACTGTCTGAGGCTTGATAGGATACTCCCTGCGGAGGTGCAATTAACCAGAAGGGGCACTCAGGTACACCAGGTTTGTCCAGGACTAACAGGAATACTCAGGACAAACAGAGTGTTCTCCCTACCACCAGGGGGCGCCAAGACCAGTAAAAAGCTCTCAGGAGCAGCAGGAGTGGACTCCCCAGGGACCAGCAGGGGCTCCTCAAGAACCACTCACTCAGGTCCCTTCAAGGAATTCAGTTAAAGGCTGGTTTTGAGTCAATAAATTCTATTCCCACACATGGCAAACTGCTTCCTGACATTCAGAGTGTAAAAAATGTTTTTATTGTTTAAATACAGTCATTACCTCCACTTTCACGGTGAAATGCCTTCAAAACTAATCTTCATTTTCCAAGGTCATGGCAATGGAACGACTGTAAACTGGATTGTCATGATGAGCACTTTCATAGTTTAGAAGTACAGTGATCTACATTCCATAGAATAATTAATTCACCATAAACAGGAGCATCATATCTACCCCAGGTATTTTGAATTTGAAGGTCACTTGTCACCATATTATACACTTTGCAAAAATTGATGGACCCAAAATAGGGAATTTTTCCTATCCCAATACCAAATAAATAAGTAGATATAAATAATTACTTAAAATAATTTCACCATGGAGTCATGAAAGAAAGGATTTTGTGCATGTATGTCTGATAACAAGAACTACTCAACAATGTCTCCACCATTTCCACATCTTGGACACAGGACACTGTGACCTCACACAAAGGATCTTTAGGACATTCCCTGGAAACTTTCTGTCAGTCTAAGGCACATTCAACTTCTGCTTTAACTTGCTGTGTTCAAGTATCTTATTTTTGAGACATTTGGGAGGTATATGTAGGGAGGACATAGGTCAAGCTCAGCATGTGCAATAGGAGAGAGATCCCCATCTAAACAACAACCCATGCATCTAGCACACACATTTCCTCCCACCTATGTGGTAGTCATAGATAGGAGGATTTCATTCTCCATATTCCTTCTGGATCCACAGGATAGGATGTGAGACCTCCATAGCCCAAATGCAGTTCTCATCCAGTCCTGGGTATCTCTCTGCAGGACACATCATGTATGCATCTGAATAGTCATTACCTGGACAGATAGTCAGGACCCCCATGTTTTCTATGCTCAGAGTAGGGACTTATCTTTAACATTGGCTACTGTCTTAGGAAGGTCCACACTACCTCACAAGGTTGATGAGCAGACATATGCAAGAACCGACGCCTATGACATGGGTCAGAAGAGAAGTGGATGTAAACAGTGAGGGAGTGTCTTCTTCTGAACCCTGTTGACTGTGATGAAGCCTTTCAATTATGTTGTGAAAGCATCAATTCATTTGCCCCTGACATTCTGTCTTCAGTGTGAGAGTCATGTTTGAAACCTGCTCCACACAACCCTAATGGCATTAAAAGAGAGATGGTGGACATGAACCTGAAAGAGAAGAAGAGAAATAGGTTTTGGAGTCAGGAGACAAGATTCTGAATTTGATTTGAAGGATCAGAAGGAGACTGGGGTCTTATGGTGTAGTGGTTGTCAGAGTTTACCACTATGCATATTACAACTCTATGGATGGTATCAGTTATGAATGGTTATGGAAGGTGGGTCCATTGATTCAGTGCAGAATTTAAGTCCAATAATATCCCATTTTAGAGCAAGAGAAAGATGAACCCCCGTCAGAATGTTTCCTTAGTTGTCACAGAATTCTCATCTGGGGAATGGGTCATTGAAAGCAGATTCCCCATGTCTCTTCCACAAATGCTCACAATCACAATTGTGAGTAAATTACAGCACAGACAGCATTTATCTCCGTATTGTGATGGAGCCCAGAGTCTAGAACTTCAAGTACTCTCCTACTTTAATCATGTCCCCAACACTTTTGCATTTAGTTTTAGTTGTGGGATCCAGTTTTCATACAGTTGTCAATTCTAGGTCATCAGGCATCAACTCTGATCCTCCTTCCTCCACCTCCAGAATATCTGGGATCATAGGATCCATGCTGACTGACCCACTGACAAAATTCTTTCCAGTCTCTATGGTTTATGGCTCCTATGTGCTTAATATTATAGCATCAATTAAAGTAGCAGAGGTTTTATCTCATATAAGAGCAGGAGTGTGACAATGTAGCAGAATGCCAGGGCACTTGTGTACAAAAGCATAGTAGAGTGAACATAGGAAAAAGAGGAGATGTGCTGTAACTCACAGGCCCTATCAGACCCAGGTCTCCTTGACATTAATCCTTCCCCTTATACAACTGGAGATTTCCCACAGGCAAATTGTTATTCTAGCTCTAGGTTAAATTGCACCATAAGCCTGGAGGATCTCACAGATCTCTCCTCACACAGGACTGAGGTCTCCTGGGGAAGACAGACCTATGGTCCAGAAGATGAGACTGTTGAGTCTTCTCATGATCCTGGTGACAGATTCCCAGGGTGAGTGACCCAGTGTCCCACATGGGTCCATGGAACTCTGACTGCACATGACTGACTGTGATGATTCTCTGTGTCCCCAGGTGTCCTGTCCCAGGTGCAGCTGCAGGAGTTAAGACCTGGACTGGTGAAGCAGTCATAGACACTATCCCTCACTTGTGCTGTGTCTGTTTACTCCATCCTAACCAATCCTTACCACTGGGCATGGATCTCCCAGCCCCCAGGACAGAGCCTGGAGTGGATGGGGTACATACTCTATGATGGAAGCATTTATTACAGCCCATCCCTCAAAAGCCACATATCTCTCCTGAGATATGTCCAAGAATGAGTTCCCCCTGCAACTGAGCACTGTGAGCACAGAGGACAAGGCTGTGCATTGTTGTGCAAGAAGCACTGTGAGGGGACTTCAGTGTGAGCCCATGGGAGACACAAACCTCCCATGCAGCATCACTTGGCTCACAGCAAGCACAGTTTCATTCCCAGTGGCAGGTGCAGACACACACATGAACTTTTCCTCCTGAATCTCAGTTTCTGCCATGCACAGTGATTCTGGAAATCTCTCCTGTCTCAGTACATCTGAAAATTCTTTTCTCTTTATTCGTTTTGGTCATAGTGGTCATAGTGGTGTTTGAATGAAGAGTCATGTGCATCCCTAGCAATTCCTCTACTGCTTCAGGCTCACCACCAGATCACTTTTTATTTCAGATAATTATTTTACATAGGATTTCATATTTTTCTAGTGGTGGGTATTGCACTGTGATCCTCCTATCTACACCTCGAATGGATCAAGACAACTGCCCAGTGTGATTGTCGCAATGGGATGTCACTTCTTTTACTTTTATTTTGTCTTTGTCTTCCTACTATACATAAAGAAAACATTTTTTCATTCTTGCGTGTGTCCAACTTTTAAAAAGCTTTTAAATTTTTAGATCCTTCAAAAACTTAATATTAGTAAACAGTGATAACACAGGTGAATAATGAATATTTTCTTTCAAATCTGTTTTTATTTCCTTTGCTTCAGAATTTGTACTGGAAAACATGTTTATCCCATCCTTGATCATTGATGGATGCCTCAAATCACTTGCTAATGAAATTGGTATTGTTTATCTGCAGAAAGTTATATTTTCTTACTTAAGGTGGTTTTTATGATCATAATACATTGCATATTCTTAACTGAATTAGAATTTTCACATGTGCATGCTGAAAACATTTTACATAGCCTGAACATATTATATTATTTAATATTAAGTTATATTTACAAATATTGTATTTATATTACCAACATTTCTTGGATTGTGGGAATATATCTGTTACACAGGCACAAATTGGCAATTTAATTAAGTTAATTTCTTTTATTTTTAAATATTTATGTAGTATTTTCATTAAACACATTCTCACAATTACTACAGGTGCCACTTGCCTCAGGGTTATTGATTTATTGATTCATGGTCTAACTTGCAAGTGCAGAGTGCATGGCCATGGATTTCCTTTGTGGTTCTGCAATATCTCTTGTGCCTCCAGGGACATCTCTCTGTGTTTTGAAGTGTCTGTTTTATCACATCCTGACTGAGGCCATAATCAAGGAAGTGACTTCCTCTGTGTATGGATTAAATGGGACCACTCACCAGCACACTGCAGGAATGCAAGCAATTACATGTGCCTCTACCCTCAGACAGAAGAACAACTGTCTCAGGTGTGCAGTGTGAGCCTGCCACACATCTACCCCTCAAGTCCCTGTACTACCCAAGCAGTTGAACACAGTGCTTCTCATGTGCCTACATCCTTTAGTGATTATGATTATCTCTTCTCTACTCTTCACTGAGCTCCTGGATGGAGAAGGATTCCAGGTGAGCTGAGACCCCAGCTCTCAGATTACCCATGAAAGAGACAGGAAGACAAGCATAGAGATGAAAGCCCCTGACATTCCTGCTGGACCTTGTTCAGATTGGGGTTCTGAAAGCTGTGCTGAGAGCTGTGTGCTGAGACCAGCTCCTTGGCTTCCACATGGAGAATACAAGTGTTAGTAAGAGCCAGCAGGATGGAGCACTGTTTTATTCCCATTGTCTCCTGTTCTGAATATCCCAAAGAACCAACTTAATCATTACCTCTCTCTAATACCCTGAATTCAGAATAAAGAGAATTGTAGTAAATGCACTTCATATAACTTACCTATTTTTCTGTTTAAATGTGTGCAGTTTGGTGGGTCAAATTAAAATTGTCCTTCACCACTCCTAACCTCCACCATTCTTCTTTTCCCTAAATGTAAGCCTGTGTCAACCATGCAATTCCTTCCATGTCTCTGTGATAGACTATTGTAGTTCAAACATGTGTACAATGGTTAACTATAAAATCAGCATAGTTTATCCATCTATTCAGTTGTTATTTCTTTCAGTTATAAACTTATGACCTATTCTACTCAGCTGTTCAGAAGTATGTAATAGTTTGTTGTAGACTGTATTTACCCTGCTAGGCTATAGAACTTTATAAATTGTTCTACCTGACTATTTTCCCCCATGACCCTTCATGCTATCCTGCCCCTCCACCTTCCTCAGTCTCTGGTGACTACTATTCCTCTCCCTAGTTCTAGGAGAAGGATGTTTCAGCTTCTGAAGGTGAGGGAGATCATGTAAGATTTGTCTGACTCTGCTTGTCTTGTTTCACTCATGATAACTACATCCTGTCCCATACTCATTGCCACAAATGACAGGTTGCCATTCATTTATGGATCAATTATGTTCCATTGCCTGTGTAGAACACATTTCTATATCCATCTATTCAGTCCATTTGTGTTTTACAAAACATCTTGATTACTTGAGAACAGTGCAAATGCATAAGTGCACAAATGTATTTCATATACAGATCACAATTCTCCTCATATATATAAAACAGTAGAACTGCTGGATTATGAGTTAGATCTGATTAGTTTATTGAGGAATCCCTATCCCGTCTTCCAAATCAGCTGTACTAACTCACATCCCCACTGAAAATGAAGGAAAGTTCTGTTCTCTGGGTGTCATTTACTGAACATTGTCACCTTTTGACATTTATACTACAGTGAATGTTGCTAGACTAGAGTGACATCTCAGTACTGTTTGATTTACTTTGTGTATTAGTTTGCAGAGATTAATTTGGAAAAGTTTTGAAAGGCAGGATAGGCAAAGCCTAGAGTGCTGCAAGCACAGCTTAATGAGATGCTCTGGAGGATAGAGATGATGAACAGGTGGACAGAAATGAGGACAGAAAAGGCTTTCCTCATTAGGTTCAGATGGAATGAAGGACTCTTGGATGTTGGGCTCAGGTCTTCTCAAATTACATGTGACAAAGGACTGGAATGTGTCAGGCCATGACCTGGGACGCTGATGTGCTGGGTTTAAAGTGATAAACACATTTATCACGTGGAAGAAGTGTTTCAGGAAAACAGCATTTTGGTGGCCAACTGAGTACTTCCCTCTCAAATTAGCCAGATTTGTGAAACTCATGAGTAGAAAGTAGAATGCAGAGACTTGAGAAAAATGCAGTTAGGCAGAAAACAGTTCATGTAAATTTTCACTTGGTGCAGTAGTTGAAAACATAACTGCCATTGAGAACAGGACTTTAAAGTAGTTGCAGTGTAGGGGGAGAGGGTAACTGCAAATAGTGAGTAAGGGGGGTAAAGTTGAGTGTATAGGTTGCTGGACTTCATACTCCTAAATGAAATAGAACATAGAAACCTCTTTCAGAGGTAAATTGCTGGGGAATGAGTCAGGGGGAGACAAAGTGGAGGTGATCTAAAAAATGTACAATATAAGCCTATTTGGAATTTTCATAATGAATCCCACCTGCACAATGAATATATCCTATTAAAAAGTACATAAATAAAAATAAAAAGGCAATTGCTTTGCTTTTGAACAATATAAAACATGTCCTGTGCCTCTCAGGAATCTGAGGATCACACAGGCAAAAGTGTAAACTAATTTGAGAACTTTCCTCTGAGGAGTCCTAGGCACGGTCATGGCACCAACTTCCTATGGAATTATTTTTCAGAGACTTGGCTATCACTGATATTGCATCAAGTCCCTCACTGGTCTCTGCAGGTGTGGAGCAGGGAGACCCTGGTATAGCTTGCATCAGCAGCTGACCTTGGCATCACTCATGTGATGCTGACCTTGCAGACATGCTGCATGCAAGAGTGGTGCATCTTATGCGGATTTTAATGAATTCTTAGTAGGTCAACACTGAAATGCCAGCTCATTATTTTCACGGACAGCTTCAACAGCCATGTGTTCCTCACAATGTGCAACCTGGACTCTGCAGACACACCCACATATAACTGAGCTGGGAGACCACAGTGACCAGCTGCATTGGTCAGTGTTGCATTGCTAGCATAAATATCTGAGATAATCAACTTGTGAACATGGAACTAGATGCTAGTTCAAGTTTTAGTATGTCAACTAAAATGTTAATAAATATAGGAAAACTGCCTCATGTGAATGAGACAGTGCAAACACAGATACAGAAACACACATACACACAAACATGAACAGACTCACATGTACACACTTCTAGATAGCTGGAAGAGAATGATGACTCCTCATGTCAGCATTACAAGGCACAAGAATGTCATGATCTTATGTAGACTTTTAATATATGGAATAAAGGGTCAACAAATTATAAAGGAAATAAAAACCTGTCACTCATCATTTAAAAGATATAGGTTGAATTATGTCAAAACCCCAAACCTATTTCCAGCAAAAGTGACTATGAAATAAACAAATGACAAGCTTCAGAAGAAAAGAAATATTTGCTCATCACATAGTCACTGACTTGTTTCCATAGCATAAGAATAACCCTCAAAATCGAACACTTTGAAATCCATGTATGAATTGAGCAAAGATCTGTGCATACATTGCATCAAAGAGAATATGAATGTGAAAAACCAGCATTAAAAACAGACAATAAAACCCATCTGTTTATTACCATGGAATCTGACATCACACCACAGTGAGACAGCATTTCCCACATTGAACAGCCCAAATAGAATCTAAAAACTGGAAAAACAGTGTTGGCGAACTCAGCCAGAGTTAGAGCCTACTCATTGCTGCTGGAATGTGAACTGCACCTGCTGCTCTGGAAGACCACGTCCTGTTTCTTATTAAATTAATCATGCACATGACATGAGACCTGGAAGCCCCTCCACTGAGGATTTGCTACACAGAGAAAAACATGTTCTCACAACCAACCTGCAAAGAAGTACTCACTTTTGTGTGTCAGCAATTACAAAGAACATTAAAGTCTTCCAGAATTTTATTAATTAAATAAGTTTAAGAAACAGCCAAGTTTGACTAATTGATTACTATTCACAACTTTCCCTTCCACAAAAACACCACTATTTGAAGAAAATCTTTTGACTCTGATTTTCTCATCCACTTTTCACACAAAGTTCCATCATCTAGACAGGTTCTAGATTTTATTTATGGACATCTTCATTCTCCCCATCTCTTCTGCACCACTCTCTGAGCCAGGATAATGCAGTGCAGTGGAGACCAAGATGGTCTTTCTGCTCCTGCAGCAGTTGCTCATTGTACAGGTGGGCAGTTGCTCATTGTACAGGTGGGCAGTAGCCCCCCTCTTCTCAAATGGCTCTCCTTCAGTGTTGGGACACCTGCGGAAGACAAAGGAAACAGGGTTCTCATTCCCCATGGTGCTCTGCAGTGTAGAGCTCATCCTATGGGGGTAGCTGAACAGAAAAGTCATCAATTTCAGCAACACCTGCAAGAAGTTGTCTCAAATACAGGCAGCTGTGTGCTGGTTCAGAGAGTGGAATTTCTGTTCTCTGTGCATGAGGTCATTTATGAGGGACATAGAAAGTTGATGTAATAAAACATAGTCTGACAGATTCAAACAATCATTCATAGCAGTCCATGATATACATTAAGTATTCAGGCTTCCTGAATCACTCATTCCTGTTCATTCACACATGAACTGAATTATGACATTGGAACCCAGTCTAATGTCCCATATTGTGCAATCATCATGTGTAAACAAAAGGTAAAATTATAATAATGATGATGAATGAGACAGGGGTCTTATTCAATGTCTAGACAAGAATTGCTCGCTACCCAACACGTTAGCTCATTCTGAAGTTCTTCTTTCACTTGCCTTCTTACACAAATCATAACCCTCATAGATCCATGAAATTAATTTTGATATTCGCTACTTGGGTGCCTTGTGTTTTTTAGAACACCTAAGTCACTCATGAATTCTTTATTAAAGTTTCATTGCCTTTGGTTTCACTGATAAGTTTGTTGTTCTTTCCATGTTCTCACACATTCTCACTGTGACAGTGAAAAGGAAGTGGCTTTTCTTTTTTAGGATGCTTTTGGAACAGACACTAGGTACAAAACCCTTCACCAATTCCCGTGTGACCTTCTTTTCCTCCTTGACAAACAAAATATCCCAAGAATACTCATAACCTCCAATTGTTGTTGTGGGCTGAACAGTGTTCATCAAATCACATGGAGAAGTCTAAGTGACAATTTGGTGTAACTTGGAGTGTGACATTTCTAGAAGTAATTACAGTTAAATGTTTCCATAAAGGTTCTGATCCAACAGGTCTATGATCTTAAAGGTAAGGAGACTCTGACATCAGAGTTTGCTAGTTCTAGTGCTCTCTCTCTCTCTCTGTCTCTCTCTCTCTCTCCACATTCACTAATGGCAAATGGTAGAAATATCCTACAGTGTGTAAAGGCTGACGTGATAGTCCCCACCACCACACTATGCAATATCAATGATTATGTTCCATGACAGACATGCAAAGAACAAGGTGATATGTGCACTGCTTGGGATTCTCAGAGGAGTGAGCCAGGAAAATCTCTTTCAGACCCGCTTAACCACACAGCCTCCTGCTATGGAAATCGAGGCTACAGGTATCTGGATATTAAGGAATGCATCAGCTCTTACAGGCTGCACATGGAAACTTGGGCATTACAAATTTGTTGACTCTCACAGATGGCTCAGTGGTTCCACTTCCAAGACATACTTCCAACTTGGGCACCAGTGCTGCTGTGACAAGGTTCCCTGACATGGGTACTTGCATGGGACAAACAAACTGCTCATCCACTGCTTGAACCAATGGCTTCGCCTATCTCTGGGAACCATCCACTGATGGAATGAACTGCATAACAACCCTAGCAATGTGGTTCTCCTTTGTCTGAATGTCCTGATTTATTGTAAACCTTCAATCTGCACCCAAGCTCAAGCAGTTCATGACAGTCACATTATTATCTTTATTTCTAAAATAAGATCAGTTTTTCTTTCTTACCCTTTTTTTCTCTATTCTTCTTCTTTATTGACAGAGATTTTGCTTGTACTTTCTTTGGTTTCAGGATTTATTATAATAATAAATATTATTTTCTCTTGCTCGCTTTTCTGTGAGCTGAATCTTTTTTATTCTCTACTTTGTCTTGTTCCACTTGCATTTGCTTCTCCATTTCTCCTTCCAACTTATACTCACCAATGTATCAACCATATCCACATCCTGAGATCCAAGATCTTTCCAACTTACCCATAAAAATACATTTTAAGACATATCTATGGAAACTTTATGTGTTGTTGAGGGTAGGTAAAACCTTTGATCTAATATTTGTTTATATTCCAGCTGTCAAGGAGGTGGAATTATGGAGGATCCTTGTTGGATGGCACCCTGAGAAAAATTGGCAAATCACCATCATTGAACCATCAAAACAACAAACCAAGTCCAGAATACATACCAGTATTTCCACCTAGATGGGAATCATAGAAAGAATGAATGCAAGAACCTCTATTCCCCATGCCTCCTTTGGATAGAAAAGGTGGCCCCAACAGCCTGAGTACACTTCTCAACCAGTTATGTAAGCTGTCCCTGAAGGACACACATGTTTCCATGAATGGCCAGTACCTGGATAGGAAGCCAAAATCTCTCATGTAATCTGTACTCTGCGTAGAGATTTGTCTCTGACTTTGAGATGGCCTTTTAATTTCTGAAAATTACACTCCTATTTCCCCAGGTAGATGAGCAGAGAAAAGGAAGAACTGACACTGATGGCATGGTCAGAGTTGATATGAATCTAAAACATGAATTTCTTTAATTTCTACCTGTTGGTTGTGATGATGTCTCTCAATCTTGTTGACAAAGTGTCAACTCATGGGCTCCTGACATTTTCTCTTCACTGGGGAAGTAGTGTTGGTGTCTTCTGACCAAAATATGAATGAGGCCACAAGGGATAATGTGGATTTGAATCTGAAGTATAAGAGAAGAGGTAGGTTATGTGATCTGGAGACCCTTTTCTAAACTTGATTTTAAGGAGCAGAGTGGTTAAATAATCTTAAGGTTAATTGGGTATCATAATGAGGGACATTTCATCCTATGGAAGGGTGAATTATGAGTTGATTTGCAATGAGAAAATCTTTGATCTGTATAGTAGTTTAAATGCAGGAATAACCTATGCAGAACTAGAGTAATCTGGATATTGATGGGAATGATCCCATAGTCGGTGCAGAATTCTTATCTGGGGAGTGGGACATTGAAAGCAGATTGTGTATGTCTCTCCCCCAAATGCTCTCAATCCTTTTTGTGAATAAGGTGCAGCACAGGCAGCATTGTCTGCAATGCTGGACATTGAACCCAAGACCTAGGACTTCAAGAGATATCCCACCACAGCCATGTTCCCAGCCTTTTGTTTTACTTTTGCTTATGAAATCCAATATTGCCTGTGATAGCATGAATATGTACCTTATAGGAGTTTGTTAACATGCATGACCCACAGACATCATTTGAATTAGTGTTTATCTTCCTAGGTTATGAGTGCCTTGCAACACAGAATGATTTGAGCACAGGAGAAGACTTGCCCTCCTCTAAAAGCTACAGGGTAACAATCTAACAAGGCCTGAGTCACCTGTGAAAAAAATCACTGAAGAGGGAAAAGAGACAAAGCAAAGCTGTGCTGGTCAATGCATTGGGAAAGATATTACAGAGCCTGAGTGGAAGAGGGTATTGTATTGGAGGTAAAAGTGAGAAGGGGCTTGGAGGATGGAAGTCATGTCCTATGCAGGTAGAATTGTCCGTGGCCCAACATCCATTATCCCTCTAGATAACCTCTTATCACAAATGTAAGAATCTCTTCAACACTAGACCAGAGATACCTCCCAGGGTACAGCAGGACCAGGACAGCCTGACATCATTCCCTACCCAACACACAAATTATTATTCAAGTCTACATTGAACCCCCCCTCATACCAGGATAACTCACAGCTATCTTCTTACACAGGGCTAAGGTAAGAATGCAGGGCTCTGGTTTAGAAGATGAGACTGCTGTGTTTTTGCTCTGCCTACTGAAAGACTTGCATGTGTGTATCCTCAATGTTGCACATGTGCCTGTGGGGAGTTTGTGACCACAAATGACTTACAGGATGATTCTCCTTATTCCCAGGTATCCTGGGCCAAGGGCAGCTACAAGAGCCAGTACCTGACCTGGTGAACCCATCTCAGACACTATCTGTCACCTGTGCTTTCTCAGGTTCTCCATTGCAACCAGAAGTTACTCTTGGTCCTGGATCTGCCAAGACACAGGGAAGAGCCTGGAGTGTATGGCGTACATAACTTGTATTGGAAACATTAACTACAGCCCACCCCCCAAGAGCCGCATCTCTATCACCAGAGACACATCCAAGAACCAGTTCTCCCTTCAGCTGAGCTCTGTGACCACAGAGGACACAGCTGTGTATTACTGTGCAAGAGACACAGAGAGGGGACTTAAATGTGATCCCTGACAGAAACCTTCCAGCACAGCACCCGTGACTGGTAGGTGGAGATCAGCTCACTACAAGCTCAGCTTCAGGCCCAACAGTAGGTGCAGACACAAACATGAACTTTTCATCCTGAAGCTCTGGTTTCTACCCAGAAGCTCTTACCAGACACCACTATGCACTTTGATGCTGGAGACCTCTCCTATTTGAGAGCATCAGAAATGTTTCTTTTCTATTTTTTGCTTTTGGTGGCAGTGGTGTTTGAACTCAGAGTCAAACTTCCTAAACAATTGCTCTATGACTTTAGCCACACCACCACACCACTTTTGTTTTAGATCATTATTTCAAATTGGGTTTCATATTATTCCTAGGGATATAGTCATTATAGAGGGCGGTATTCATAATGATAATTCCTATTAGGATTATATTGTACATTGGTCATATTGCTCCCATCTTGTCCTCCCCACAACCCTCTCCCTGTTCCTATTACAGCAACTGCAAGAAGTTTTTTTGCTCTATTTCATATAAGTATATAAATCCATCAAGTCTATACCCTTACCTTAATCTTCATACACCCTCGCCCTTCCCACTATATCCCAGTAATGAGATTAACATGTCAGCCCATGCAAAGTCTGAAAATACCTACAATTAGTCAAAAGAAATAAAAAGTAGTATTGAAAAAGAAGCCTCATCATTCACGTGTGTTGTCACTGTTTACTCATATTAATAGAGTTTTTAAATCTACAATTGTTAACAAGGCTTTTGTATGCAAGGAAGATACAAGAGGGGAAAAGGGAATTATTTATATATACTCCAGTGGTACTTTCACATGTGTGAGGTGCAGGGAAGTTCATTGCATGTTTTCAATTCATTTTTTTCATTCTTTATCAGCCGACATTCTCAATGCTATTTTATTATTTTTAATTTGTAATGAAACTCATGGCTGAATTTCTTCACTCTTGATATATTTTGATTAAGATTGTGAAATTAAGAATGAGTTATTAAGAAATCAATAATAATTAAGGAAATCAACTCAGTTCAAGCTTTGTTCATGGTCGCCTTTGAGTTATACTTATCTGAATAGCTGGTTAGAGGGCTATATTTATAATTTACATGAAATTAAACGTTTGTAATTGACTGGTTTAACAAAACCCCATGTGTGAAGATAAAACATTGAAGGCAATTATTATGGGGTGGTGACATTAGTCAGAATGAAAGATGCAGTTATTTCAGATTTGACTTTGTTTAGGTAACTTACTGTATAGAGAAAATGCCACACGTGAATAGACTTGGTACAACAGACCACAGAGAATTAGTTGATGGTAGCTGTGAATGATGTCAGGGCCTGTCTTGCTGTGAGGCTCTTTCCTCCACCACACTGTGTGTTTCTCCCACACCACACTGAGATTTTTGTCCCATAATTACTTACACTCATAGAGAAGAAAGCTTCATCTCTACATAAATATAACAATATTTTTATAGGAAACACTTCTGTTCTATATGTACCACATGGAGAACCAGTAGCAGACAGAGGAGTGGTATTGAAAGTGTTTTGCTCCATGGCGGTAGGAATGCTCAGAACTTCTTTATATGTCACACCATTAGCATGCATGTTCTTGTAATAAAGGAGAAGATTCTGTATAGATGTATTTTTCACTGTCACATAAGACATGGTAGGCAAGGGCTGCAGTTTATATAGCAATGCTCAGTATAAACCTCCTCTGAATGTCTTTCCTCCAACTCTCTCCAGAGTTAAATGGAGACACCAGAGTTCCCGGTCTGTTCTTTCTTAGACTGTCACTTTCCTGCCATCCTGGAGCTCTTCAAACAGAGTGCTCACCTGTTATCCAATCTGCTGCACAGTTTCCACTATGGCATCTCATGAGAGCATCACTGTATCCACAAGTCTGATTTAGGATCAGGGGGGTGATAAAGGGAAAGAAGGGTGGAACTTTTGTACAGATTAACCAACCAGTGACCACTGAATGACTAACCACAGAATGTAAATCTTGTTATTTACTTTCCCATTTCATGTTCCTTTTAACATCAGTCCCAGTGGCTCACCCCTTTAATTCAGCTATTTGTATGGAGGACATGAGGACCATCATTGTTAATGAAGACAAAATACTGCCAAGGTTCCTGTCAATATCTGTTTAACTCTGTCTTTGTTTCCTGACAGGAACCTGTGTCTTAGGACATGGTAAGTACTCATCCTGAGTGGGTCTTCCAGGTCCTGTTCAGTTCTCACAGCTGTGTCCAGGTCCATCAATACAAGAGTCAGCAGCAGCTGCAGGGACTGTGCAGTGCTGGGACCTACTCAGCTCCCCATATTCACAGTGCAGGTGAGGCTGGTGGGGATGGGAGCAGATGGAAAGTCTCAAGGCTGCTATGTGCCTAATCTGTGATGATTTCATTCCAACTGAGTGCAGTCTCATTTTAATTCATGCAGATTGAGTCTCAGGAGTTGGAAGGCATTCTTCAGTGTTGATACCAGAAATACACTTATTATGAAATTGTGACCATTCATGGTGAAGGCACACAGAGGGAATTACTGGGGTTTCCTTTTCATCAAGGACCATGTATCCTTCCCCAGACCAGATAACCTCAGCATTTTCGGAAGTTTCCTCTGACGATTTGTTACATCCCAGGGAAGGTTGATACAGAGCCACAGCATCAACTCCCATGTACTGGAATTATACATATGTATCTACATGCTTGAATCACAGACAGCATTCTATCCAGTCTCTATTGTCCTTTGGATAACAGATGAAGCAGAGGATGGGAGGCCTAGACTTCACATAAGAGCAGCAGTGTGACAATGTGACAGGTTCCAGAGCATCTGGACCTCAGTGCCTCCACATATATAAAAAGAGGACTCTCCACATGCAAATTATCATTCAGTCTCTAAGTTAAATCCCTTCTCATGCAGGTGGAGCTCACAGCTCACTCTTCACACAGGACTGAGGTCTCTGGGGAAGGCAGGGCTGTGTGCCAGAAGATGAGGCTGCTGGGTCTTCTCCTGTGCTTGGTGACAGCTCCTAAAGGTAAAAGTCCCCATATTCATACATGGGTCCATGAGAAGTTCATAACCACAGGTGACTAACTGTTATGATTCTCCTTTTCTCCAGGTGTCTTGTCCCAGGTGCAGCTGCAGGAATCAGGACCAGGACTGGTGAAGCCCTCACAAACTCTGTCCCTCACCTGTGCTGTCTCTGGTGCCTCAATCAGCAGTTATGCTTGGAGCTGGATCCGCCAGCCCCCAGGGAAAAGCTTGGAGTGGATCGGATATATAAATTCTGGTGGAAGCACAAGCTACAACCCATCCCTCAAGAGCCGCATCTCCATCTCCAGAGACACGTCTAAGAACCAGTTCTCCCTACAGCTGAGCTCTGTGACTGCAGAGGACACAGCCACATATTACTGTACAAGAGACACAGTGAGGGAAACTCAGCATGAGCCCAGACACAAACATCCCTGCAGGAGCAAACAGGACCACCAGGGGACGCGCAGCCCACAGCAAACACAGCCTTAGTCCCAATGCAGGTGCAGACAGACAGACACATGAACTTTAATTTCTGAAGCTCTGTTTTTTATTTAGCCACCTGCTACCAGACACTACCGTGCACAGTGACTCTGGATATCTTTCCTGTATTATTTTTAGTGATAGTGGTATTTGAACTCAGTCATGTGCTTCCTATGCATTTGCTTAACCACTTCAGCTATATCACCAGAATGGTCTTATTTTAGATAATTATTTCACAGGGGGTCTTGTGTTTTCTCAGGGGTGGGTCTTGCACTGTGATCCTCTGACCCACACGTCCAATGGAGTTGAGACCACTGGCACACAACACCATGCCAAGCTGGTTCCCTTGAGATCCAGTCTCACTAATTATAAGTGAAGTTATAATAATAAATGGTATCATTTTTCTTTAACTTTTATTTTCTGTTTGTGCTCCTACTGTGTATAACAATACTTTTTTAAGCTTTCAAAAACCGTATTAAAATTTGTAGATTTGACAATGAATTATTATTAGTAAACAGTGATAATATAAATGAATAATGAGTGTTTTCTTGCAAGACTTCTTCTGATTTCCTTTGATTCACTGAAAATCTCATTAGAATTTATACAGGCAGACTTATTACTCTCATTCCTGATCAAGGATGGATGTCTGAATTACTTGTCATTATATGTATCATAATGCATTTGTGGAAAGGTTTATTTTCTTACTTAAGGACATTTTTTATTTTAATAGAATCACTTTCTTACGTAATTATGACCTTTCCACTCTGTCTACAGCATATTTAAATTTAATGCAAATCAATTTTGTCTGATCGTTTCATTTCAGGTGCCACAACATAGCAACAATTAAAATACTAACGTGATCATGCAAATACAAAGAAAGAGAGGGTGGTGTTTCATTTAAGAAACACATAAAGTTGGATCCTATTAGCCACAGAGATTTTACAAACTGTGCACACACAATGGAAATGGGTGTGAATAATCTGGTTCACCCAGAAATGAAAAGGATCAACACACAGGTGGATAACACACACTTAGATATTCACAGGATTCTGTCAGTTTTGTCCAATTGTTTTTGATATTCACAGGGTTCTGTCAATTTTGTCCCTTGAGGGATCCTGGGATTTCTGAGATGTAGCCTTCCTCTGCAGCTCTTGCTGAGGGAGAATCAATATTAAATGGATATTCCCTTATTGCCAAATGCAATAGGGAGAATGGATTCTGCATCTCAGTTCTATTAAACCTTTTGTGTGACTCACACAGTGCAGCCCTATGATCTGTGCTGTGTTTGCTCCTTCCTTCATGTAAGACCCTCCCTATAACTGCAGGCAGTTCCTGTTATTTCAACAGATGGTGTTCATGGAACTCCAAATTTTTGTGCCTGTGAACTGCTAAGAAACTTGTCTTTCCTTGACTCCTTTCACTGATTGTACATGAAATAAATTTGGTCCCTGCCTGTAGCTCAATAGGGGAAATAGAACTGTTGTTTATTTCTCACCATCTTCACAATAACTTCATGGAAATGGTTTTGCAAATCCTGGAGATGTGGAGAAACAACATCTCCTTATTTTTAATGCCTAAATTTAATAGGACCTTCCCCATGTCTCACCTTTGCCTCTGTTCCTTCTGTCTTTGAGCCTGATTAAATGTCTGTTTTCTGAATATTCTGGAGATTCTGTGGTACCTGATTCTTTGCCTTTTGGGCCCGCAGTCCCTGGGAACCTGGACCTTTCCTTGAACTGGATGGGAAAACTTCTGCTTCTTTCTTGGTGTCCATAGGCCCCTATGTCTTCCAGTTCACCTTCATATACAAAAGGAGAGCTTTTAGTAAATCAAAAACATATTGCAGGGTGCTCTCAAGTTTCAACAGAATATTTTCAAATCCACCAAGTTTACTGTGACAGTTTAAAAATATTTTTGTTTCTAATATCCTTGTGAGGAAGAGATTCTAGAAAGGAAGGTTGGAGGGTATCAATGTGAGGATAATGAGTCAGAGGTCAAAAATCCGACAAAAGGTGACTGGAGGAGAATTTGCTAATCAGAGTCTCAGTATGGATCCTTCTGCTGGTGAGGATGTGCTAAACTGAAGCTGGGAAGAAAGAATTGATTGGAAATCAAATTATCTATGACCAAACTTAGGCTGTTGGATTTGTTGTGATGCCAGGTTCCCCTGCCTGCTAAGCCTCCACTGGCTCTGGAATACACCTCTTCTAATAGGTTTGAAAGTCTGTAATCTTAACCTGTACTTAAAAGGGAACTTAATATAGTGCCATGTGTAAGGTTTTCTATGAAGTTAACTTTATAGGAAATAGGTTTGACACACATGTGTACATATAAAGTGTTAAAAACTAATCTGCTTGGTGTCTAAATGACTGCATTTCAGGAAAACTATACTTAGTACCTGTCATGTGCAACCTTCCTTATGACCTATATGAAATTAGATTTGTGACTCTAATGTTGACAACAGCAATGATTGTGGTAAATGATCTCCTTGACTTGTATTTTGTTTCTTTTAACATCCTTAAATGTGCATTTGATTTTGTTTTAATACCAATGAAATACTTACAAACATAACAAGTTGTATGCATATTTTCACTTCCTAGCAATGTAAATCAGTTTTCTCAAACATATCTGTTAACGTACGTTTTCATAACAAGTTTCCTAGGACTTTTACAGTACATTGAGCTTATAAGAAAATCAGAATACTGCAGGGTTTCCACGTCCTGGTTTTGCCTTTCATCTTTATATTCTTACCTTCTCAACTTGTGTAATATGAAGAGCTAACACAATAGGTGAACTCTACCTCATTTTGCTCATCCCGGGATTTAGGGATGACATATTTACAACTTTCACTGGTATTCAGCAGACCTCACATCTCTCTTAAGATCAGCTACATCCTCACACCTAGCACTTAGATTTAAAGACCTTAAACCTTTCCTTCTTTTTGGTGGTAGTGGGGTTTGAACTCAGGATCTACACCTTGACCCACTTCTCCTATACTTTTCTGTGATGGATATTTTTAAGAAAGTTTTTGACAGCTATGTGCCCAGATTGGAGTCAAACCACAATTATCCTGATTTCTGCCTCCTGAATACCTAGGATTGCAGGAATTACCAGTGCCTGGCTCCTTCTTAATTACAGATTCATGTAGGCTTATGAGTCCTGGACTTGAAGAGTTACCGAATTCTGTCTTTTGATACTTCCATGTACTTGTCGTCAGCCCTATCCCACAGTCTGTGCCTTTCAGTGTGTGTTTCCATCCAAGCTGTCAAGATTATTTACACCAAATAATTTGTTCAACATAAAATGATGATAGGGAAAGAATATTCAAGACACAGATTGGAACTCCAACAAGGTTTTCTATTGACATTGCAGATGGAACGTTGCAGACATTTGAAGTGACTTGCAACAGGAAATAGATGTCATGGCATGGAAACATAGAGTCAGAGACATATCATTCTAAGGAACTGAATATCCCAAAAGGCTATTCTGAGAATCACAGCCCAGGGGAGACCTGCATTACCACCTGTTGGAAGCTACACAGGGGACACAGGCAGGCTTTCTGTGGATTCCTGTTCCACAAAATTTCAGTTAAATACTTTTGTTGCTTCAGTAGTGAATTTGTGCAAATGTGTACACAGAATTAGAGATAAAAAGAAAGATATATTAATCATTTTTCCTGATTCTCCTTGCATAAGTTTCACATCCAAACAATTGATGATTATTTTTATGTATGCTGAAGAATAGAATCTTGTGGAACAAATGTCACGCATGTTTGCTAAAGACGTTTTCACGTACATCTGGTGAGATGCTACATAAAATAGAAAGAGAAACCAGAAGATTCTCTTTTACTTCTGGCTACTCCACAGATTTCATGTGTCTCTGTACAAAATGAAAATAGTCAGAGTGGTATTCAAAGAACAGGAGGAAAAACTTGTCATTAAAGGTACCAAAAGAAAAGCTTCCTTGTTCTTTTATTGTATTCTTCTCAAATTATTATATTGATTTCTCATTAATGTTTTTCTGAGTAAAAGTAAAAACTATTTTAACTTGCTATCATGAGTTTCCCCATTCATCTTTACACTGTCAAACAACAGATAAATGCATAAATGAGAACCCCGAGCCCAATAGGTGAGTCTCTGGAATTGTACATGTGAATGGATCTTTCCTGAATGCTCACCTCATGTGTCAAGAAGGAAGGAGTTAGGAATAAAACAAAGTCTTGGATGTACAGACTGGCAGAACAAGAGGATACACAATGGATCAATTGCAGAAGGTTCAGCCTACTGTCTCTCCATACAATCACTCTTTTATTCTAGCCTCCTGCTGACGTTGGTAATAGTTTTGTGAAGCACAATGAAGGTAAACACACCTGGGAACCACTGTGAGAAGGACGGGAACTGGAATAGGGCAGATGCTGATAATCTCTCGATCAGTGGTGTCAGAGACCTCCCTGAGAATGACTGTGAAGGGGATGTCTGAGGTGCAGCAGATCAGGTCCAGGAGTATTCAGGATAGAATATAGATTCCAGCAGAGGAGTGGGGCATGGAGAATTCTAAGGATGGGGGAAATCTAAGCCAGTGGCCTAAAGGGAGCAGAACCTACCTCCCAAGTGGATCTCTGCATGTGGATCAGAAGAGAGTCTCTGAAATCTGCCAATGGGAGAAAGACCTGCTGTGATGATCTCCAGTGATTCCAACCAGAAACTGAGCTGGGTTCATTCAGAGGGTATGCTGTCCATGAGGCGTCTCTCATTGATGCTGGACTCCCTGATGAAGGAACTGGGTACAGGGATTTTGACCTCCACCATAACCTTGAAACCAGGGCATGTAGTGTCCATAGGGTCAGACTCAGATTTAAGAACTGGAGATACTGGAACACAACCGTGAGCAGGGAAATCTGATTCACTTTCAGCAGAAAACTTCTGTATGAGAAGAGGTAGTGGCTCATTTGGGGAAATTTAGGAGTATGGATATACAGATAGGACCTGAGCCTTCTCCCCCAGGACCCCAGAATTTGCAGGATTCCTAATTCCACCCTGAGTCTCCACATTTCTTATTTGAGTTAGCGTGCAGTGTCTCAGGTGGGCAGAGCTGCTCCTGTTCACTGCATGTGAAAGGCCTCACACACTTTCAGGTGAATGCTCTGGTGTATGGACACATAGGGAGAACAAGGATATGGTTCCTCTGAGAAGTGGGACAATAAACCCACTGCAAACCACAGTATGTAGAGGTTTCCATTTCTTCTCCTCCTTCACTGCAGAGCACAGACAGCATGGACTCTGCTCCTCGTCTTCACAGGCCAGCACCTGGGCACTGATGAGAAACTGGATTTAAAGAAGGAGAATGGCTCTGTGCTTGATTTATTTCATTGAACACAATTATCCAGTTCCATCTGCAGCCTGTCACTAACCACCATGTATTGTGTATTTCAGAACAACAAGAGGAGGATTTTCAATGTTTTTCCACAATGAAATTGTACATATTTGAAATGGTGGAAAGACTGTTAATCCTGATAACTTTTGCACACTGGGAGTTATATACATGTATGGAAGCCTGAATCCCCTGAACATGAATAATTATTATTGTCAATTAAAACTTTAAAAAAAGAAAAATGATTTCTTGAATAAAAATTCTTTTTCACATTCACTTTTCTCTATATCACATAATTTATATCAGGTAATTTATCAAATACCTTGGAGACAAAGTATGGATGATGTAATATAATTTTCTTACATCAATGATATTAAATATGTAGTAATTGACCATTTATCTTGAGTTTCTTTGTAACAGAATTGGACTTTGATCTGAGGGCTGCATACTATTCAACTGCTTGATCTACACGTCCAATCCCCCATTCCATGTATCTTTATTCTCAGGAGTATCTGAAAATCATTTTTTTCTTGAACAATTTCAAAAATTTAATCTATTTTGTCTGAATAACTTATGGATAATCAGGCAGTTATAATTTGCTCTTTTTGGGAGATATATATAATATATTCATCATGTATTAGTTGATCACATCTAATGAAAGCTGAAAAACACTAGCCTCTCCATCCTACCCTGGAGGTTATAAGACAGTGCTTTCCCTTATGGCATGCACATTGGAGTTGTAAACACTCTGGTTGATTCTAAAAAGCAGCCAGGATGAGAATCACTACAAGTGGTAGGCAAAGATGACAAGTCACTCACACGCAATCTGCATTCTCTAACTTTGGAAGATCTCTGACTAAGTACCAAGACAATGTGTATGACTCTGTAGGGCCTCAATAAGCAAGTGACTGGTCCTAGCCCTTACAACATTATTGTTTGCATCCATACGTGAACTTAGATATCGGGCGACAATATTTTATAAGACAACCCAGGTGATGGCACTGGGACACTGAAGAAGAGAGTCATTTAACTAACAAGGCTTCTGGAATTGTGATGTGTTTTGGAGTCTTGTGTAGATCCAGGACTAAAGCCATAGATTGTAGGAAACTCTAAATCAAACCATGGTATTCCATTTTTCGAAAGTTCAGTGGCCATATTGGTGACAGTCCTCCCAGACCCAACTCCCCATAGCATTGAGCACAGCATGCAAAACCGACCTACCACCCATAATTGCTCAATACAAATGCTCTGTGTTGCAGTGAAGACCACCAGTTACCTGCCTGAAATCCCTCCTTATACTGATATTATGAAGGCTTTGAGAAGAATGGAAGAGGGGTCTGGTTAAGTCAGACTTTTGGACACAACACACATTCCTTACTTACAACAACATGGATTGCACATTTTCAGTTTGTTCCCATGACACGTAGTAGGCACTGTGCTGGGAACCCTAGTACACTGTGTGAATTAATTTTCCTGTTCCTTGGGAGTAATTTCTAATGAGTAATTTACAGTCATTAAATGAAGGAAGGAAGGATATATGGGGAAGGATGGGGGAGGACATGTAGGGAATAATACAGAGTGGATGGATGCTACACAGGCTTTTCTCAGTAATAGTGAGCTTGAGCCTGCCTGACAGGTGCAGCCATATAGAGGTCATAGGTACTAAAAAATAAGGGTTTCTGTTGCAGTCAATTGCCCTGACAGGCAGGACTGGATGAAAGGTACATTTCAGTTTTTTTAAATGTTCTCTCTGATTTGTTACCACATTTGCAAAATATATGTATATGTCTTAAAAGTTTAATAATAATCAGCATGCTTTTTAAGTAACTGCTCTTGTATGTATTAAACAAGGGGACAGGAAACTAATAAGGCATAATATCAAGTTGGTTCATTGAGGAATGTAATAAATTTTCCATATTGTTTAAAATATTGAAAGTACTTTACAGTGATTTGTTGCATGAAAATTTAAAAGCTACTTGAATTAAGGTGTTTTTGCTTTATCAAATTGTATGCTGCAAGATGCCATATTTATGTTATCTCAGGACTGACCTCATTAAGATATGAGATGTGTTGTGGGTTGTGATCCTGCCCCTGCTTAGTACAACTCTGAGGTTGAGGGAAAAGAATCCATAGTTTCCTATAGGAAGGAAGTGCAGAGATGCCTGTCACTCTGTCCCCAGACAGCTCCCAGTGCCAGAGAAAAGGACTGAGGAGTCTTAAGCAGATTTAGACCAGATGCCTATGACACTGCCTCTGGGACCTGGAGTTGTCACACCAAGCTACACTTGGAAAGAACATAAAGTACCTGTTCTGTTTCTCTGGGGTATAAATGGAGATGCAGATTTTGTTGGGAGGTAGGAATGAGGGGAGGTTAGCCAGTAAATTGTTAAAGAAGGAAGACTCAGAAAGTGAGGCTCATTATATGCCACATGGAAGGAAGAAATTTTTGAGTTTAAACTGTCTAGTGTAACATAGAACAAAACAACTGTATTTCACATTTTCAGATCAGTTTTATTATTTAAATGTTTTTAATTATCTAGATTCAATTTGAAAGTTGGATATAATCTAATTGAATAGCAATTTTACTCTGATTTCTCATATTCATGTACACTTTATATTTCCAGATAATTTCATTATCCTGTATTATATTCAATATTGTTCAATGATGTTTATTTTGTCAAAATTCTTAATGATCAGCTAAATTTGCATTAAAGGGTACTATTAGAGGTTTTTTTGGTTGCTTGGCTTTCTCCAGACTGTTTTTCCAAAGTAAGGTTGACCTGCATTCTCTCCACTCTGATTTTAGGCTTGATGGCTGACCATGATGGAACATTAGTGTTGAGGATGAATGACAATCATCAAGGATGTTCTTTTATTCATGACACTGAGAGTTTATCCAGAGTGAATCCTCACACACACCACTAGAGCTGCTGTGTGAGTAAAAGGTTTATTGTGATTTCACACTGAGTCATGTCTCAGAGTTGTCATTTGATATTCTTCAGGATGAGCCACCCTCTCTTGTCTCATTTTAGCACCTTGTGTGGAAGAACATTGCTTCTAACTTTCTGTTTCCAAAGGAAAGATCGGTGAGGTAATTGAGTCTCCTCAAGCATGGGTTCCCATCAGTGCTTCCAAGACTCGGTCACACTTCTGCCCCATATCAAAACTGAGATTTATCATGAGCCAGGAGGGTCATTCAGGACTTGGGTGCTCAGAGCAGAGTGTTACCAGAGACTCGGGGTTTTCTCTCATGGAAGAAACAGACAGAGACTGAGCCAAGCATTCAGGAAACACACTCCTTAGTGGGCTTCAACTTGAAAGGGATGCCAAGCCTGCACTGAGTGTCCAGCTGCCCTTTGCACAAAGGAGGAACAGGCCTCACTGAGCTCTAAATGATATGTTCCAGGATAGCTTTATTGCCTTCTTTAGGCTGTATATTTGCAAGTATAATATATTGAATTTTATTTAAATTTGATTTATCAAATTTGAATGACAAATACATGCTATAATACCTGGATGAAAAGTTCTCTTATCAGGTTATCCAGAAAATATAATTGGATTTATAGCAGTTTTAATTAGAATATGAGAATTTCTTTATAAGACACACAGATCTGCATTTCAATTTAGCTTAACTTATTCTTGTTTCTAGAAATGGAACTCAGGCTTTCTTGCATGTGAGGCAAGTACTCTGCTCCTGAGTCAAGCCCCAGTCTTCTTACCTTCTTTTTAATTGATGTGGTGTTTAATGATAAGGTAAAATGATTGCTATTCTTTCACGTATTTTGTTACTGTGATAGAGAACTCAACACTATGCTTTGTCTCTTAATGGGTTGAGAGCTATCATCACAGAACTGTGTTAAATCTCACTGAATGATGTCCTACATCTGTAGAAATTGTCATATGGGTTTTGCTCTTCTTCCTGCTGATGAGATGTATTGAATTCATTAACTTGCATATATAGTTGAGCCCGTGGTACAGCCCTGAAATAAATCCAACTTCAAAATAGAAGGTAATATTTTGATGTGCTTATGGATTCAATGTACAATATTTTGTTGATAATATTGTCAGTAGGGTTATTCAACTGTTTTCATTTTTGGTCTTCCTGGTTTTGGTGCAGGACAATGTTGCTCATAGAGTGAGTTTGGCTCTTCTTTTCCTCACAATGTTGTGAGATAGTTTTTGAATTGGGGTTAGTTTTTCTTTAAAGGTTTTTGCAGCATTCAACATTGCAGACAGAAATTTTAGACACTGCTGTGATGGGGAGTTGATTTGCTACTGCTTCAAATCTGTTCATCATGATGTGTCTACATTCTCTCTGTATTCCAAAAACCCACACCCTGTTTCCATTCATGATATCTTCTTATTTTACATTAGCATGGGACAAAGTACTTTTAGATTTGGAACAGTGCATTCCTGTTTACTAAACTCCAGACTAATCTCCAGATATTTTCACAAACTCACCAATTCTCCGTTAACATCCATGCTGGCTCCAAGATAATCTGAATCATATACTTGTGTGAGTCTCCAGATATGGGGAACTTGTGAAAGGAAATAAATGAATTGCTTCCAAAATACAATAGTTGGAATGACAATGAGAAGACATTGACACCCAAAAACAGAATATAGAAAAGAATTAAGGGATAAAAAAAATCAAGAGAAAACTCCCCAAACCACAGGGCTCAGCCATCAAATCTTAGGACCAATGTATAATCCAATGTGACTTGAAGGCTTGTCTCCACACAGAATGCAGGGATGGTTGGGCCCACAAGGCCCCAGAAGCCCTGTCTCACTGCTTTGCTGGATACAGTCCACATAAGAGACACCAGGCCTATGAGTTGAGTGTTTGCAGCAATCACGAGTGGCTTTGCATACTGATGCCTCTAAACACCTGAATCTAAGAAGCAGAGCCTCACATTCCTTATGTAGGCAGTTGGCAGTGAGAACTGAGTTAGACATGGACACCATAAGTTCTCGTTTGTTAAGATGGAATACACCATTAAGTCTGAGAAAGAGTGACTACTTAATCATTTTTGTGAGAAACACTTTCAATGTGTTGCCCAGTCTGAAGTAAATCATGTGATCCTCTTGCCCTTGCTTCTCCAGTGTTGACGATTATAGGTGCATGCCTAGTGGATGGATAAAATGACAAATGTCTGATGGTAAAATGAGAGGGGAAAGAAATAATTCTACCTCTTTCGAGAAACTACAATGCATACAAATTCAGTTATCACATCTTTAGTTCTTACATGCAATAATACCAAGCTTAATGCAGCAGGTAATAACACTTTATCTAACTGTATTAAAAGTATAGATGTGCAAATATATATTTTATATGCAATTTATTACTTTTGGGTAAGTTTGTTACTTCTCCCAAAGATTACACCATAGGGTTTCACAAGACATATATTGTACATTGCTCAGATTAATTCCATCATTGCTCTCTACTTTTCTACATAAAATTTCCTTTAAATATAAATAGAAAATTGTAAGTAAAAGAAGAATAAAAATATTCCATCACAAGAGAGGCTAAAAAACCTACCGTAGCCAAAACAATTTCAGACAAGGAAAACATCAAAATGTAGATTCTTAGTGCTCAAGGGTTATTACACAAGCTTAAAACAGGTGTTGTACAAAGAAAAAAATTAACAAATGTATGGCATACAGGAACTAATGATGTACATAAGGTTTGGAAGCATCAACTCTCTAATGTTTACAGATTATGAACAGCATAATGACATAAGTAGAGAAACAGTTGACCTGAAGTTAACCATCAGGCTGAGTGCTTGCTCTATGCAGACTAGTCAACCAGAAGACAGTGGGATACACAGATGTCATCACCCATAGAGGGGCAACAGTGCCAACACCTAATGTAACATGGCATCCTGAGAGCCTCCCACTTCTCATAAAAACAGGCCATCCCTTGTCCTACAGCTCTGGAAGAGGAGCCCAGCTCTGGATTTCCAGCTGATCTATTCAGTGATCTATCCCACCTTCCTCAATTTCAGGATATTCCTTCTGAAGTCAGTCAAATTTCAGGGCCAGTCATCAGCTTGTATTTAACAGCCTTACCTGGTCATGGGTATTGAGTGTCAGGTCTTCTCCTCTCCTGTCCCTCATAATTCTGACCTCTTTCCAGATTCTATCCAGAAGGTTTATGTTTGTCATGTTAATCTGCCTCAATCTACTGCTATTAATCTGACATAACTGAGGTCAGGCACCCTGTGTATTGTCTAAGTCACAGTGTTAAATCTATTTTACAGTAAGATGCAGTAGCCTGCACTCAAGGCTCTCTTTATTAAACGATTTGGAGGAAAGCGGTTTTCAGGGAGTATAGTGTGTAAATCAATCAATTCATGTGTGCAATCACTGAGCTGAGGGTCCCTGACCTGTCCATCACAGGTGTGTC